AAAAAAAAAAAAATGAAAGAGAAAATAATTTCGTAAGAAAGTTTCGATTGCGCCAGCACAGCTCGAATTAAATTAGACCGATTGGAACAATCTTGCGAGCCTCTCTTGCTAGATTATAATCTCAGCCAGCGGTACACAAGGCGAACAAAGGGAATTTAATTAAAAAAGTTGCGGGAATCTCTAAGAGCATAATCGAGCCTAAAATGCGAGATTAAAGTTGCTCTCCGCGCGAGATATCGGTATGCACACACATATGTGTAGAGCGTATTGCGTCCCTTACCTCGGCCAGAAGTCTACAGCTCTCTCCCTCGGTCACTATAGCTGGAAGTTCGTGTCTATGTGCGTAAGACGAAGTCGGCCGAGGAAATGTCATGTTCCTCCCGTAACACACCGGGGCGGTAGTTCTCACACGAATATCCATGCCCGGCGAGTCAATGTCCTCTATATCTGTCATCCTCTGCTCGTTTTGCTCTTTTATACTGTAAGACGCTGTGTTCTGAAATCGATACGCGGACAATTTATCGCGCGCCGTCCGCTAAATGAAAGATGCATTAAAAGTCGGGAATAATATCGACAGGAGAGAAAGGAAGACGGAATTGGAGCGGAGAGGTTTATGAAACGTACACGGTACAGATATTGAATCCGGAGATTACCTCGAGAACCGCGATCTCGAGTGTCGAATAAAACGAGGCTAATGACATAAATAGACGATGCGTAGCGCGAGAATTAGAGTCGATTGACCGAGAGCACACGGGACGAGCGTAGAAACAAATTGATAGAAATGAATCCCCATCGTAAGAGAGAGAAAGAGATAGAGAGGAAGAGTTCTACCCTTCCGAAATAAAACGTGATCTAATTCACATGTGTTGCACATCATGTAGAGGAATATAATATATATAATATATACAATATACAGTGATCGAAGAGCGATGCTTTGCATACGTTATAGACTGCTGTAAATTAACAAACATGAATGCGACACACATGCGTGATTATTTCACGCACAATAATTGACACCTAGGATTCTCAAGTACCTTCTTTCCATTAAAATCTTCCCACACCTGACCCATTCTCAAAATTATATGCGCGTAAATTTCTTCATAATGGATGCAAGAACGAAAAATACTCGTGACGAAGCATTCCTTCCGTTACACGTGATTTTTATTCTGTGTTTTTTTCCTTTCCTTTTGTCATTGTTTTCAGTTGACCGTCACGTTCTTATGGATGACAAGTTTCCAAACAGGAAGATATTAAATCATTATATTATGTCGTGTGAATCCAAATATAAGCAAGCGATGATATCAACGTAAAATGCAATGATTTTCTGCACATATTACCGTGATATCACCTAGAATAATGTTTACGTGTTACACAACAATCTTATCATAAAAATACCGGCGGATTGTGTGTGGGATAAACTATATAAATAATGATAGAAATAGTATTGTATGTGTGTGTATGTGTAACACATAATTTATGAGAATTATATACTTATCACCAATTATAAACAATTAATCCTAAAAAATGATAAACACATTTCAAATTAAGACTGGTAAGAAAATAATTATTTAAATAGCTTCATTTAAATAAAATAATATTTTTAAAAAGAAAAAGAGAGAGAGAGAGAGTTTATCTTCTTTTATATTGTTTTTAAAATTTATCTTTATAAATTATAATAGTTTAATTTTAATGATAGAATGTTGCTACAAAAAAGAAAGAATTTAAAATTTTTGATGCACAGATAATTAGTATATTATAATGATGTATATTGACGTGTATTTTTTATTCAATCTTAATAAGTTATCTAGAATCAAGGACGTAAGCAAAATGATTTCGATTAAACATGAATAACAATTTATTAGATCGGCGAAATAATTATCTGTTTTTCTTGTGAATTGGTCTCTGCCGATAAATTACTAAAAAAAACATAAATAACGTCGCACGTGCTGCAAACTGCAGGATGATGAGATTTCTTTTTCGATCTCGCATTATCTAAATGATCCAAGGAAATACAGAAAGTGTAGCAAATTATCAAAACTATTACCAAAGTTCTTCTGGTACGTATATAATGTTGTCTTCATACGTTAGATACGTTACATCATCGCACGTAAATAACGATAATGCATTGTCTATACAGATCAACATAGTCGACAGTGACATAGTATTAACGCCACGTGTTAACATGTACAATTTTAAACCGTATATAATTGCAAATGTGTATAAAAGAATCCTTTGCTTGTCTCTTTATATTATCAAAAAATCCATATTAAAAATTTATGTAACGTTAAAAATTGTAATGAAAAATTAATTGAATTATTTCTTTATATTAAATTCTCTCTCTCTCTAGAAATATAAGAGCGTTTCTTGTAATCCATAGTAATATATATTATTTAATAAATATTGTAAACAAAAAAATATACAACATATAATAAAAATTATATTAATTAATATTTTTGCGTAATCCATCTCTTTCCAATAAATTTTTGGTATAATTAAAAGTAACTATTACATCTCTCTTGCAGTTTGAAACTAAATCCGATTTGTTTACATTGTACAACTTCTATTTTTTGTACAATTTCTATTTGTTTTTTATTGTATTTTTTTGGATGAAAGAATATGATTCGAACAATTTTATATTTATAACATTTGTTTTTTGTACGCATCTTGTTACTCGTTATACATCCAAGTTACAATGATGCAATACGCTGCATGTGTTTAATAATACATATCTGCATTTATTCATGCATAATACTATACAACGTATTATAACAGATTGCATGCATTTCATCCGATTGACAGCATTGCAATGTCGTTTCACATGATTCATTCTCGCTTGTCACCCCGATGCGATATTATGTGTATTATCATCATATAACCTCGTTCAATGTGTAAAATGAAATATTGTGATAGATTATTTTTGGTAAAACTGAGTCTACAAAGAAATTCTAAAGAAAAAATTGCAATATTAAAATAAAAATATAATATACAACAAAATATAGAAATATATTAACAGCAAAATAAAAGAGATGGGCAAAAGTTTGCTCTATAATATAATGAATTTCTATTTTTGCAGAGAATAAAAAGAAAAACTTTTATTTTCTTTCCAAGAGGAAAGAATAAAAAGAAATCAAATATTTCAAATATTAAATATTTAATTTAAAAAAATAAACTTCTCACAACATAAATTGTGCTGTTTTATTTTAATCCATATTTTTGTAGTTTATATGTCGTAAAATGAGATACATGACGTGCTGACATTGAGAAACCTCGATACCACGGCTATTCAAAATCGCGATTTCTCTAACGAAGAACATTTCCGAGGACTCGTTTGCATCTCATTGAAATGAGATGAAGTGCGTATCTCGCAGCGCTTACATATCGTTATTTTATCGACATTCTTTTCTTCTCGCGTCTCTCTCGCACTCTCATGTCTAATTCGATGTCGCATTAGAAGACGCAGATAACAGAGCGGGCAGCTGAAAAAGGGGGAGAAATAGCAAGCAAAGTCAAACAGAGCGACAAGAGCCTCGTCGCAACGTCAGTCGCGCGAATTACGTTGTACAAAACCAGCGCATCGCAGTGCATAAAGGTTGCAAAAAAAAAAAAAGAATAGCTTGACGTCGCCGTGTTTGTTTCGAATTACGCACACGATCATTTTACCTAACGTCGATCGCTGCATCGCTTGCGATTCAGTCTGTGTCATTAAGGTAAACGATACCCCAACTAATAGTAAGATATGCAAAAAATTACATTTTCTCATTAAGAGAAATATAGACGCAAGAATGGATTAAACGCGATGTTCCGAAAATTAAAACTCTGAAGCGTTGATTCGTGCATGATATAACTGATGATAAATGACTAGTGAAAAATATAAATTTTCTTATTTTTACTCTACAAAAGTGCTTCATAAATAATATTTGAGATTGGTATATGGCTTCTGTGTTCACTCCAAAAAATGTTTTTTTAAAAAATTCTAAAAAAATAGATAAAAAGCATATGTTTTACTTGCGACGTTCCAAAAATATACTATTTTCAAAATTGAATTTAACAAATATCTAGACTCAATTGATAAATTAATAAAATATATACGAAAAAATTACAACGCTGCCATTAAGACAAATATATCAAAAACACATAGTATTAATTTTATAGTTATAGGAATAAATCATCGTTTTTCTTTTGCAAATATATCTATCGTTTAAAACTGACCACGAAATTTAAAGAGAGTGATGCCGAGTGCTTGCCAAAAAGAGATGACCTCGTCAGCAAATTTTGGTGGCCAAGATTCTTCACGCAACATCTCTGATCAATACCTACAAGATTTGTATAACTAAATTACGATAGCATTTTTTAAAAAATCTGAATCTCTCTTTCGTGTTTTAAAAGAATTGGAATAATAAATATATGCTGCATAAAAGATAAAGATGTATGTTTAGAACATAGTTTGCCGAATTTATATAAGGCAAATTATAATTACTGCGTTAACATATATAGCAAGCTGCGCAAAAATTTTCAATAATATTGCTTGAACACAGGAGAGAAACTTCCTACGTTTCTCAAGCCTTCTCATGATGAGACGAAATACTTAATAACGTGTTATTTGAGATAAACGCTGGCTTAAAATAACAGTTGCATAACGCGCAAAAATGTCAATGTTTTGTTCCTTTCATTATCGCTGCATTATCTTGCAGTAATAAAAAATGTACGCTTATAGCTCTATATTGTTATTTATTTGCATTTACGCGATAGAAACGGCAATGATATAATTTGAGTATCGAACAAGTTATTTAAAAAGGGCGGGACTATGCTCGAATGATAAGAACTGATAGCATGCAGTCAGCGCGGATATAAATAGTAAATGAAAATATGCGATTTTAATATGATTTAATGTTTCAAGTTTCGTCCTTGTAAACGTGTTTCGTGTGCTCGACATAAAACTAAATCTCTATCTATAATTTTGTTGTTTTAATCGCTTTTAGAAAATGTAATTTGTTATCATAACGAATATTTGATAATAATCCCGGTTTTAAGGCACGTTCTTTATTTTAAGATATATATCTCATCTATGAATACGTTTAGTGTACTTGACCTAAAATTCAATTCAATTTTACTGCTTTAAGCAAACTAACGTCATTACTTCTTCGTTTCACGGTCATTATTTTTGTATATACAAAGTATTTATATAATAGATTTATATTAAATACGAATGTGTAGATGTTTCAACGTTGAGAAAACTGAATATTGATTAAATACTCTATCACACATAAGTAGTTTGTTTAAATGTCACAGAAAATTTTTAATAAAGCTCACAAATATATAATTCAAGGTTCTTTAAACTATTAAATTCTTAATTAGCGCAAGTCATGTCTATTTTCCTGTATGAAATTATAGTATAATCTCAAAGTCCGTGAAGAAAAATTAACATATTATCAATGGTACCAAAGATGTTAAGATATTCCGAACGCTGAACGCATCTCCAAGTTCTCAACTCTATAC